CCCCACCTGATCATTTCTTAATTCTCCCTAACCCTAATCCTGACCTACCCTAACTGAACCCCATCCTTAGCAATAGCCTGAGACCTTATCTTAACCTTATTCTAACCATTCAATCCTGATCCTTTCCTAACTTGTATCATAAGCCTGAACTAGTCTAACCTTGGCCAAATTCAAACCCAGCTGTTGGGAGTTTAAAAGTGACTTGTGCATGTTCTGGCTATTAAGCCATTTTCCTGAGACGTGGATTACATGGACCACAGGGGACAGATGTTTCCCTCTTCCGATTTAGTCCCATTCTTTGGTCTAAGTGGATCCTGAAGATGTTCTCCTGGGGCTGAGGAGGGCAGGTGCAGACACACTGGCCATGAAGAAGCTTAAAAGGTCAAGAATCTAGGAACACTTGGAGCACTTGGAGCTAACATAGCTCTCACTTGGTGCTTCTGGGGATTAGGCTCTTATAAGTACAGGTAGAAAATAAGCCTGTATTCCTTTACCTGGTAACATCTAGGAACTTTCATATTATTACTATTTTGAGATAGGGACTTTTATATTATTACTATTTTGAGATAGGGTCTTGCTCTCTTACCCAGGCTAGAGTGCAGTGGCACAATCACAGCTCAAAGTCAGCCTCGACCTCCTGGGCTCAAGTGATTCTCCTGCTGCCGCTTCCCGAGTAGCTGGGACTACAGGCGTGCACCATCACGCCTGGCTAACTTATTATTTTATTATTGTTATTATTATTATTTTTTTGAGACGGAGTCTTGCTCTGTAGCCCAGGCTGGAGTGCTGTGGTGCGATCTCGGCTCACTGCAAGCTCCACCTCCCGGGTTCACGCCATTCTCCTGCCTCAACCTGCCAAGTAGCTGAGACTACAGGTGCCTGCCACCACGCCCGGCTAATTTTTTTTTTTTTTTTGTATTTTTAGTAGAGACGGGGTTTCACCATGTTAGACAGGATCGTCTTGGTCTCCTGACCTTGTGATCTGCCCGCCTCGGCCTCCCAAAGTGCTGGGATTACAGGTATTATTATTTTTAACTTTTAAGTTCAGGGGTAGTACATGTGCAGGATGTGCAGGTTTGTCACACGGGTAAATGTGTGTCATGGGGGTTGGTTGCACAGATTATTTTACTACCCAGATATTAAGCCTAGTATCCACTAGTTATTTTTTTGTTTTTTGCTTCTCTCTGTCCTCCTACCCTCCACCCTCCGGTAAGCCCCAGTGTGTGTTGTTCCCTCTACATGTCCGCGTGTTCTCATCATTTAGCTCCCACCTATAAGTGAGAACATGTGGTGTTTGGTTTTCTGATCCTGCATTAGTTTGCTGAGGATAATGGTCTCCAGCTCCATCCATGTCCCTGCAAAGGATATCGTCTCCTTCTTTTTTATGGCTGCATAGTATGCCATCATGCCCAGCTTATTTTTAATATTTTTTTCTTTTTTTTGTTTTGTAGAGATGGGGTCTCCCTGTGTTGTCCAGACTGGTCTTGAATTCCTGCTTCAGCCTCCCAAAGTGCTGGGGTTACAGGCGTGAGGCACTGTACCTGGCTGAACGTTTATGTTTTGAATGTTGAAGAACCTGAGGCAGTGCAACAGCAACATTAACCTGGTCTAGGGTCTGGCTCTAGGTCTAGCCCCAGATGAACCCCAAGTCTTTTTCTCCCTGCTATAAGCTTTCAATTCCCCCTTTACTGTCCCTTAAACAATGACATGAGATATCCAAGCCAGAGGAGCATCCCATCTTTACCGACAGTGACAGGGGCCAGAAGGAGGCCCCGACCTCCTCATCCCCTCATAGTCAGACCTACCCAGCCTCCCTGGACCAATCACTGGGGCCCCTGCCCTGGACGGCGGAATCGGCTCCAGGTCCGCCTGAGGGCCTCCTTGACCTCCTTGTTGCGGAGGCTGTAGATGAGCGGGTTGAGAGCCGGGATGACCAGGGTATAGAACACAGAGGCCATCTTGTCAGTGTCCAGGGCATAGCTGGAGCTGGGACGCAGGTACATGAAAATGAGTGTCCCGTACATCATGGCCACGGCTGTGAGGTGCGAGCAGCAAGTGGAGGCTGCTCGCCGACGGCCCTCGACCGAGCGCATGCGGATCACAGCCCCAGCAATGAAGCCATAAGACACGGTGATAGCTAACACCGTGGCTGTCTGGATGAAGCCACAGATGGCGAAGAGAAGGAGTTCATTGAGACTGGTGTTACTGCAGGAGATGGCCAGCAGTGGAGGGATATCACAGAAGAAGCTATTGATCTCCCAGGAGCGGCAGAAGGTCAGGCGGAAGGTGAGGGTTGTGTGAACAAAGGCGCTCACTGCCCCACCCAGGCCTGATGCCCCCAGCAAGGCCAGGCATAGACGCTGCGACATAGCTGTTGTATAGAGAAGTGGGTTTCTGATGGCCACGTAGCGGTCATAGGCCATGGCTGCCAGCAAGCAACACTCGGTGTCAGCCAGACCTGCAAAGACAAACATCTGGAGGGCACAGGCTGTGTAAGGGATAGTGGCTCGGGGCAGCAGCAGGTCCACTAGCATCTTGGGGCCGATGGCGGAGGAATAGCAGGCATCCAGCAGGCAGAGGTTGGCCAGGAAGAAGTACATAGGTGTGTGGAGCCGGGCATCCAAGCGAATTAGCAGCACCATGCCCACGTTTCCCAGCAGGCTCACCAAGTAGACAGGCAGGCAGGTCAGGAAGAGGGCCACACGCACGTCCCAGCGATTCGTGATGCCCAGGAGGATGAATTCAGCAGGGGCAACCGCAGCCCAGGTGAGGTTCTCTGAGTTCATCCTACTGGACAGAGACTGAGAAGAGGCAAAGCAGGAGGGAGATAAGAGAAAGGTCAAGGTCATGGCCAGCGAGAAGAAAGCTTCCTACACTGCGAGTTCGGTAGGCTTGGGTTTCAGCCCACCTGTGCAACAAAATTGCTGTGTGACCTTGGGCAAGCCACGTAACCTCTCAAAACCTGTTTCTAACGCTTAGAAGTCCTTGCAGCAGCTTTTTTTTGTTTGTTTTTGAGAGGGAGTTTCGCTCTTGTTACCCAGGCTGGAGTGCACAGGCGCAATCTCAGCTCACCACAACCTCCACCTTCTGGGTTCAAGCGATTCTCCTGCCTCAGCCTCCTGAGTAGCTGGGATTACAGGCATGCGCCACCATGACCGGCTAATTTTGTATTTTTAGTAGAGACGGAGTTTCTCCATGTTGATCAGGCAGGTCTCGAACCCCCAACTTCAGGTGATTCTCCCACCTTGGCCTCCCAAAGTGCTGGGATTACAGGCCTGAGCCACTGTGCCCCGCCCATCTTTTTTTTTTTTTTTTTTTTTGAGATGAAGTCTTGTTTTGTCACCCAGGTTGGAGTGCAGTGGCTCAATCTTGGCTCATTGCAACCTCCGCCTCTTGGGTTCAAGTGATTCTCCTACCTCAGCCTCCCAGGTAGCTGAGACTACAGGCGCCTGCCACCTTGCTGGCTAATTTTTGTATTTTTAAAGTAGAGACAGGGTTTCACCATGTTGGTGGCCAGGCTGGTCTTCAACTCCTGATCTCAATGATCTGCCCACCCCGGCTTCCCAAAGTGTTGGGATTACAGGTGTGAGCCACACCCAGCCTTTTTCTTCTTCTTTTTTTTTTTTTTTTTTTTTTAAAAGAGACACAAAGTCTTACTATGTTGTCCAGGCTGAACTAGAGTTCCTGAGCTTAAGTGATTGTCCTCCCACCTCAGCCTGCCAAGCAGCTGGGATTATAGGCTTGCTGCACCACACCCACAGGAGTCTTGTCTCTCTTATTCACTTCTGTGTCTACAGCACTGAGAGCATTGCCTAGCACACAGCTGGTGCTCAAAAAAGATTTGATAAATGAATGAATGGGATGATATTTCATGTCCAGCCAATGATTGAAAACTTTGTGACTGTATATGCATTCTCCTCTCCAGTTTTTCAGGTAAGAAAAGAGACAGTGGAATGAGCAGAAATAATCTTCAGATGCAAGGGGCACCTGGCCATGGGTTTTGAGGTTTGCTAGGAGGGACATCTTTCCTTTGGAGTAAGATGGGAGAAAGGAGTAGCCTGGTGTCTTGGGAAAACAGTGGGGAGTAGAAAGAACAGAGAGTGTGAATATATTCCTGAGCTGAATTCTTGGCCTCTCTGAGCCTCAATGTTCTCATCGGTATAATGGGGGAAAGCTGCAAGGATTCGATGAGATAATGCATGTAAAGCTTCTCACACAGGGCCTAGCACACACAGGCATTTAACAAAGGCCCTATGAATGGAAATGAATTGAGCTGGATGCTTTGGCTCTAAACTGGAAGGAAGCAACTTTATGGCCATCAAAAGTAGTATAATTCCCAGAAAATGCAATGTTGCTTCACATTCCTGTGCCTTGCATTTGTTCTCTTTGCCTAGAACTGATTTCCTCCTTTTGTGTTTGATAAAAAGTATCTCCAATGTGAAGCCTTCCCTGATCTGTCCCTTAAAATTAAACATTTTTCTTGTCTGTGTCCTGCTGCACTGGAGCATACAGTAGTTCCCCCTTATCTATGGGGAATACGTTCCAACACCCCCTGTGGATGTGTGAAATCACAGATAGTACTGAACCTTAGATATGTGATTTTTTCCCCTATACATTCATATCCATGGTAAAGTTTAATTTATAAATTAGGCATAGTAAGGGATAACAACAATAACTAATAATAACATAGAACAATTATAACAATGTACTAAAATACAAGTTATGTGAAGATGGTCTTTCTCTATGTCCCTCAAAATATCTTACTTTTTGTTATATATATATATACACACACACATTATATATACTTTTATATATACACACACACACACACACACACACATATATATATATATATTTTTTTTTTGAGATGGAGTCTCACTGTGTCACTCAGGCTGGAGTGCAGTGGAATGATCTCGGCTCACTGCAACCTCCACCTCCCAGGTCCAAGTGATTCTCCTGCCTCAGCCTCCTGAGTGGCTGGGACTACAGATGTGTGCTACCATGCCCAGCTAATTTTTTTCTATTTTTAGTAGAGATGGGGTTTCACCACGTTGGCCAGGTTGGTCTCGAACTCCTGACCTCAGGTGATTCACCTGTCTCGGCCTCCCAAAGTGCTGGGATTACAAGCGTGAGCCATTGCACCCAGCCTATTTTTAATATTTTCGGGTCACAGTTGACTGCAGGTGACTGAAACTGCAGAAAGCAAAACTGTGGGTAAAGGGGAACAACTGCTGTACATCTCTCATGCTGCTTTGCCATTCTATTGCAAATATCTTTTACATGTCTGTCTCCTGTGAACTCTGAGCTTCTTGATTCAATATTCATTCAACAAAGTTTTATTGAGTATTATTACTATGTGCTAAGAATGCCCCATAATTCATTTTTGTATCTCCAGGGTGGGGTACATAGTCAGAGCTCAAAAAGTGTTAGTTGAGTCCATAACACAGTGATCAAGAGGATAGACATTAGCAGCATGAACACTGGCTTTTGAGCCCTAGTTTCACAACTTTCTGATGTGTAACTTCAGGCAAGTCACTTCATCTCTCTTAACTTTGGTTTTCTCCTTGCAAAGTAGGAATCATAATATCTCCGTTGGAGGGTTCTAAGAGGCAGTAGGTGTGCAGGAAGGGGCCTGGAGCTGAATACATATGCTCCTTCCCCTCCTTTTAAGAGAAGTTTAGATGTTTGGGACTTACCTGTGCCCAGTGAGGATGCTGAAAATCTCCTACAAAGCACAATTTGGATGAAAAATTTTGACAATATCACATTGGTGAGGTTGTGCTTGTGGAAATGTAAATTGGGACATTTCCGACCACTGTGCACTCCCCAGTGTCTTAAGCTACTCAGTTTGCTAAAACAAAATGCCAATAGACTGGGTGGCTTAAACAACAGACATTTATTTATATAACCACAGACTGGGAAGTCTGTGGTTAGCATGTCAGCATGGTTGGGTTCTAGTAAGAGCCCTCCTTCTGGCTTGTGCATGGCCACCTTCCTACTGTATTGTCACAGGGTGGGGACAGAGAGACAGAGAAAGCTCTCTGGTTTCTTTTAAGGGTATTAATCCCATTATCATAGATGCCCCCATAATGACTTAATTAGGTGTAGACCTAGTTACCTCACAAAGGCTCCTCCAAATACCATCATATTGGGGGTTAGAATTTCAACATGAATTTTTCTGGGATGTAAACATTCAGTCCATAGCACCTGGTAATTCCACTACTTGGTGTTTACTTTTGAAAACCCTCTCATGTATACAGAAGGAGACAAGGGAGCATGCATTCCTGGACAATTTGTAATGGCTAAATGTTAGTGAAACCTAAATGTTTATCAATAGGCTCATGGGAGTTAAACAGGAATGGAGTCAACCTCTATATAACAATATAGGGAAATCTCAAGAACATATTGACATCAAAACATAATTTTCAGAAAAATATGCAGATCAATGAAAAAACTCATAATATATGTTTTTTTTAAATGTATGTGTATGTAAGACATACTGCTGGCTGCTCCAAACAGAGATGGGGCTCCAGCTAAAAGACTTGAGGGCATTTCAGAGGATTTCATGGCCTTTGCCCTCTGCCATATCAGAGGTGATCCTTCTTATCTTTTAAGATTCAGCTTAAGGGTCATCTTTATCTGAGCACCTGACTGCCCAACCTCTCATGCTGGAACTCCACTCACCAGTCTCTCTGCATCATATCATTATTCCATTGTTGTATAATTACCTACATGTTTATCTCCTGTCACCTGATCAAGCATCTTAAGATCTGGGACTGTGCCTAATTCACCCCTCTGTCCATAGGCATACAGGATTTTAGGTATCTTCCCCCTTCTCCTTGGTGTGTCACTGGTGGAGGTCAGACAGCCTCCAGGGGTACAGAAACAGGGAGTTCCAGCGCTACTCAACTACATGTTCTCCAAGAATGAAGTCTACTACCTGGCTGAAGTTCTGCACACAGAACCCAGTTGGTGGCCAACCCTTTTGTATTTCAGTCTGTCCACATGGAAAGCAAACGCAACTCACCTTTACCAAGTGAGGAGCAGAGCTGCTTTGAGTGCCTCTCCATTTCTCCATCTGTAAAATAGGGACAATGAGACTCCAGGACTTTTAAGGTTCTTTGAACGTTTTGGGTACAAGTACCCACAAACTTCAGTTAAATGGGTATTGTGGAGTGTGTGTGTTTGCACACACAAAACATAGAATTAATTCTCCATTAATGTCTCTCTCTCTCACCTTACTACCCAGAGGAGCAATATTGATGTTCTAGACTTGCGTACGTCAGTGTGGGGGTTGCTAATAAAAGAGGAGGACTCAGGTTTTCATAAGGAGCAACTTCTGCATTTGCTCTTAGATGCTACTCAATACTAGAAAGGAACTGGAAAACTTCGGATTCCTGCACTTTTAGGTTCCTGGTTGCCTCTAGTTGACTCTCTTGTCTTTTTGAATCCTTCCAACATTCCAACTTCTGTCTGACTCCACATTTATCCTTCAGTCCTTGGGATTAAACTTAGGAAGTCTATGTATCTATTTATGTATGCATGCATGTATGTATTTATCAATCTATCAATCACTTAACTATCAATCCATTTTTAATTATATACTCAACAAGCATTTATTAACTACCTATTATGGGACAGAGACTGTGTGATCACAAAGGATACAGATGTCACTATAACACATCTGTCACTGCTCTCATGGAACTTTCAGGCTGGTGGGAAGAGAGAGCTCTTAATCAAATAACCACGCACATATAATTACAAACTAACATATATATGATCTGAAGGAGAGGAACACATTTCTCTCTTTTTCTCTCTTTCTCCTCAGCTTACTGAATGGCATCTGATGCCAATCAGTGGAATGATTGGTAGGTCGTTGATTGATTGATGATTGCATGAACAATCTCATTTGATACCTATCACATCCTTATGAAGCAGATACTTTTATATCTACTCATAGATGAAGAAATCCAAGCCCAGAGAAGCATCTTTTACTTTTGAGGTTGACTCTGTTCCCACCCTTTCCTTTTGTAGCCAGTGGGCCAC